TATCTAAGCCTTGGCGTTCTTCACACTTTTACATTTTCTAAGTGATTCCAGGCATTGCAAAGCTCTTTTGCCTGTGCAAGGCTTCCAGGAACCCAGCCACTGGCAGCTTTGGTGTATGCACATGCTTAAGAAGGGACATTTCTGTGGCCGGGCGCGGTGGCTCACGCCTGTAGTCCCAGCACTTTGGGAGGCCGAGGCGAGTAGATCACGAGGTCAAGAGATTGAGAACATCCTGGTCAACATGGTGAAACCCCATCTCTACTAATAATACAAAAGTTAGCTGGGCATGGTGGTGGCGTGCCTGTAGTCCCAGCTACTTGGGAGGCCGAGGCAGAAGAATTGCTTGAACCCAGGAGGCAGAGGTTGCGGTGAGCCGAGATCGTGCCACTGCACTCCAGTCTGGGTAACAAGAGCAAAACTCCGTCTCAAAAAAAAAAAGGGACATTTCTATTTTGCCTGCCTTTGTAGCTATTCATGAATGACTCTCTGTTCTTTTGTCTGCTTGTCCATCCATCCATCCATCCATCCATCCATTCATCCATCCATCCACTGAGCCATTCTTTTGTTTAACAGTGACTTACTGAATTCCTATTTACTATGACTCTTCTATATTTGACATGCTACACAGTGTTCAGCAATGACTTCTATTCAAGAGCTAGTTTTTAGTTTTATGCTGCTTTTTTCTTGTTATTTATCTTTCACTTTTGTAACTCAGAACAGAAAAATCTATAGAAAAGATCTTGCTATCAGGCTATGGGCCCCCTGGTCCATGGCTATGTCTTACTGTCTTTGTGTCTTTGGGCTGAACAATGCCGGCAATGTGGTACAAGCTTAATAATGCTCATGGAGACATACATGACGCCAACAAACATATGAAAAAATGCTCATCATCACTGGTCATTAGAGAAATGCAAATCAAAACTACATTGAGATACCATCTCACGCCAGTTAGAATGGCAATCATTAAAAAATCTGGAGACAACAGATGCTGGAGAGGATGTGGAGAAATAAGAACACTTTTACACTGTTGGTGGGAGTGTAAATGAGTGCAACCATTGTGGAAGACAGTGTGGTGATTCCTCAAGGACCTAGAAATAGAAATTCCATTTGACTCAGCAATCCCATTACTGGGTATATATCCAAAGGATTATAAATCGTTCTACTATAAGAAAAAAAAAATGCTCATGGAACAACTGTGTGGTTTCTCTTCAAGGAAGTGCTGCCATCTCTCTTTTGATTCAGAATAGGTTTACCTAGGTGATTACATCACTATCATTGTACTCCTCTGATTTCTTCCTCATGATAGGACAGATTTTACTAAACGATCAAAGATTATTTGTTACATGATACCATTCCTCTTACTTTTCAATCCAGATTAAATTTTCTTGGTCCTTCAATGCCCACTTCAAATATCAATAAACTAGTAATCTTTCCCCAACCTACTGAAGTCGCCATGTGGAGTTGGTCATTCCTTCTGCTGGTTCACATATCATCTCCTCCATTCTCTTGTCAGCCTGTTTGTCCACCCCTTTATTCATCCACTTAGCTATTCATTTATTCAGCAGTGATTTAGTGAATACCTACTTACTGTGACCCTGTCAAGTTTTACAAGCCACACAGTGTTCAGCAAAGTGTTCATATGCCTGTCTACTTTCTTGATTATGTATTTGTTTACTCCAATAGGCCATGAGCCCTTCAAGCAAAGACAAGAAGTAACCTTATTGCTCTTTTTGCATCCCAAGTGCCTGACACAAAGGAAGGTGGAGGAAAGACAGTCAATGGCTGTGGAATTGCACTATACATGCAATAGGGCCTGCCTTCTCTTCAAGCCTTCCTCAACAGGATTTGGTTTTCTTCTAAGCTTCAGAGAACATTTAAAAAGCACACAGCAACAGTAATTTCATCAGCATATGAAAGAGGATGTCAAAAGAGAAAAACCAGGGTAGAGTTGACACAAATAATTAGAGGATGTCCCCATTATAATTACAGCAACATGGATTGAGTTATGCTCGCCCCTGAGAGGAATTTGATTTCCTCATTACACGTGTAATCTTAATCATCCTCCCAGCATCCTTTTCTCTTCCGTATTTCACATGTGGCTCTGATGCCTCCCTGCTTTGTAGATGGTAAAAACTCAACTTCAGAATGGGCTAGTGGCTTGAGCCATCTCACATAGCAAGACAGACACTGAGAGGTGGGCATAAAATAAGCACGATTAGCTTTTAATTACTTCAGTCAAATCAAGAGCTCACCATCACCAGAATATCCTATTAACTATTTATTGAACCTTTATTATGTGCCAAGAACTTTACATGCATTATCCTTTCTCCCAATCTTTATTTTGAAAACATTTAAAACCTGCAAACAGCTGGAAGAATATACAATGAAACATCTAGTTTCACTAATGGATTTATTTCGTACACCTAATTCCTTACACTTAGTTTCACATTTTTGTTTTATTTCTCTGTAAATATATTTGAAAACATTTAATTGTATGACATTATGACTTTGCTCCTAAATATTCCAGGATGCATCTCTTCAGAAGGAGAACATTCACTTACATGACTAAGATACAATGACCATACTCAGGAAAGGTAACATTGAAATAATTTCATTATCTATTACATAATCCTTATTCAAATGTTCCCTATTTTCTCAATAACTCCTCCCTCCCTCCCTCCCTCCCTTCCTCCCTCCCTCTTTCCCTCTTTCCCTCCCTCCCTCTCTCTCTTACTCTCCTTTTTCTCAATTCAGGACCTAACAGAGGATCACACATTGCATTTACCTTTTGTATTTCTTTACTCATCTTTAATTAGAATCACTTCCCAGCCTTCCCCCTCAACCCTGTTTCATGACATTGACAGTTTTGAAGAATTCAAGCTACTTGTTTTGCAAAATGCCTTTAGTTTAGATTTGTGTGATATTTCCTCATGGAAAGATTCAGGTTAAATATTGTTAGCAAGAATATTGCATAAGTGATATTGTGCCCTCCATTCATCCCATCGGGGACATACAATGTCATTGTGTCCCATCACTGATGATGTATTGTCACTTGGCTAAGACAGTGTTTGTCAGATTTCTGCCTTGTGGAGCTACCGTTTTCCTTCGTAATTAAGAAGTAATCTGTAGAGCGATACTTTGAGGTTGTGTGACTACCCCCCATCAGGCTTTTGTCTAGTGTTTTTAGCATCCACTGGTGATAAGTATTTATTATCATTTTAAAGTCTCACTATAACCCTGTGAGATAGACACTATTACGAGCCATATATTTACAATGAAGAAACTGAGTTTTAGAGAAATAAAGAAACTTGCCCAAGTCTCACAGCTAGTAAGGGACAGAGCTGAGATTCCAGCCCACATCTGGCTGTCTCTAAAGCTGGTGCTTTACCTACTAACGGCACTAGCTTAAAGTAGAGTTTCTTATCTCACTTGTCCTAGGCAAGACAAGAGAAAGGTGATAGTCAGGATCATATAAGACACAATTTATTTCACCTCTCAACAAGTCTCTTTCCTCTTATTTCCTAAATACTTTTTTTCCCCCAAAGCCAGATGCCACTCAGTTCACTCTTGTCTGACTGTTAACCTGGAATGTGGTGAATAAATTATGTTTTAGTCCAATGGACCTTAGGATGTGGAGTTCTGCTTTGATTCCATCCCATGGTGCCCAGGATCAGCTGCTTGCCAGCACCACACTGGGAGTGATGTAATTACATTTTGGAATCATCCATTCCAGTGTGAGAAATACCACTACACGCATTCATAGGGAAGATTACAGTGAATCCTTCTGGGTTCTTTCATAAAGGGGAAGTTGGGGGTACCCAGAAATGGAGGTGGGGAATATATTTTTCTATTAGTTTCAAAGGAGAGCTCCCTAGCCCAATTCCCTTCTTTTGCAGATGAAGAAAGTGAGCCCTAGACTAGTATGTGGACTCCCCAGGGTCAATGCTGGTGACAGACAGATCTGGGGCTGGAACTACAGATTCCATGCTTATCATGCTGCAAAATTTCTAAGGTTCCTCTTGTCTAGCCCTGCTTGTCCAGCCCCTAGTCCTCTGCTGTCCCTCCCCACCCTCCCCTTCTCAGACTTGTCCTTTGGAAGGCGTTTGCTCATTCTTTCCTTCCTTCCTTTAAACCAGTGTTCATCATCCTCCTGCTGTGTGCCAGATGCTGTGCCAAATGCTTAATTCATGGGAATTAAGCAAAAAGAAACAGTGTCAGCCTTGAAGGAGGCCACTGTTTAGGTGAGGGACGGGAAGAATATAATCCGACACCATGATTGGATCTGCTAAGCACTAGGGCAATGCTCAACTACTGCCTTGGGAACACAGAAAAGGGAAGCGTGCTTTGAAATTATGTGGCTGCTTGGGATTTTGCTGGGGAGCTACCCAAAGCATGGCTCCATGACTCAGAACACTCCTGGAATTCCATTTCCTTTTGCAAGTCTCCCAGAGGAAAGGGAGGGCAAGTATGGGAAGCAAAGGAAGGTCAGGATTTGGTTGATGTGTTTTGGGGAGACTCTGAAGGGACCCAGAAACACACCGGATCACAGACTCAAGACTAATTGGTGCAGCTGGGTGGCTGCATCTGCTGCAGTGCCTTAGGAGCCTAAAGATGGTTACTGACTTGGCTCAGTTCAGAGAGCTCGAGCCTCCTCCAAGGCTGCCCAGTGTCCAGAGCTGCCTGCGCTGTGGGCATGGGAGAGGAGGCCAGCGGAGTGGGAGAGAGTGGGGAGAAAAAGTGGTGAGGATGCTGAGAAGCCAGGACACAATTGCCCTAGGGCACTAATTGCAGCTCCAGCTGCAGGAGGCCCTGTGATCTTCCCACTTGCTGCTCAGTACACTGCATAATGGGCATTTAGTTATGGGATCTAAACTAAGCCCGAATCTTATTCTGCACAAGGGAATAATCACATCATAAGCTGGAAGGAAGGACTATGCTGTGCTGATTAGACCAAGGCAGTGAATAGTTCTGGCTGATTTTTTTCTGTTCCTATTGCTGACCGATGGCACAGTTCAGGCCAATTAGGAAACATCTGCTTACCTATCAGTGAACTGATGTAATGACCTCATACAGCATGGCTTTAGGGTATGCTGGACTTCCCAGGTGAGCCCTCCTTCCCTTAACAACTGGGACAATTTAATGACATTTTACTGTGCCAGCCTGTTTATGGATTACCTATTTAATCCTCACAGTAACCCTAATATTAGATACCATTATGATTCCTGTTTTGCAAAGGAAGAAACAGAAGCTCAGAGAAGGTAAGTTACTTACCCAAGGTCACACAGCTAATAAATATGGAACTAGGACTGAATCAAGCACTGTGACTTCTGAGCCCACACTCCTAGCCATTGAGGCAAATTGCCTCTTATTCCCATGGGGAGGTGACTTGGGCAGGAGTTCTAACACTTGTTACAATTTGTAGTCATGTTGTTCATTCTTTTTGCAGTTCATTAGATTATAAGCTCCATGAGGTCAGGGAACAGGCAGACTTGTTCACCACTGAGCCCCCAGAGCCTAGCACCTCTTAGCACATAGTAGATGTTTCATTCACATTTTGGGCTAAGTGAATAGCTCTGGACCAGGGCATATAGCCTATTTAGTGTTTTGACGATTACACGGACAGGAGAGGCCAATGTTACAGGCCATTCGCTGGGTCTGAATTGTTCAGTTATGTGAACTCTCTGGGCTCTAGGGAGTGGGCTCCGGGGGGACTCACCAGTTGTTCCTTTTTTTGCCCTCCCATCTCCTATAGCATGCCCTCATCCCATGATTTATTTATTTGATAGCTCTTTCATGAGCACCTATTATGTGCCAGACGCTGTTCCAGGTAGTTCACTGGAACAAAGCAGATAAAAATGCCTTCCAATACAGAGCTTGTAATCCACTGGAAGGGAAAACCATGAGCAATAAATTGGCAAAATGCACAGTGTGTACAATGGAATACGTGCTTAGGAAGGTCGATATAAAGGGTCAGGGAAGCGGGTGGCCAGTAAAGGCCTCATTAAGAAGGTGGCATTTGACAAAAGGCTAGAAGGAAGTCAGCCATGCAAATGCCTCAGGGAGAGGGAACAGCCAGCACAAATGCCCTGGGGCAAAATCACCACACTGTGTGTGGGAGGAGCGGAGCAGTGGGGAGGTCACTGGAGAGATGGGAGTGATGGGAGAAGGGTTTGGAGAAGCGACCAGAGCCAGGCTGTGTGCAGCCTTGGAGGTCATAGCAACTAAAGCCCTTGGCTTTAATTCTGAGTGGAATGCAAAGCCACTAGAGGATTTGGGCAGAGGAGGGATGTGATCTGACTTTCCATGTTATCCTGTACCACAGCTATTTGCGTATCTGTCTCCCTCTCTAGACTCTGAGGTTCTGAACACCGGGACCATTCCCATTGCCAAGCACAGTAATGGTACATGGTAGATGTTTCAATACGTGGCCATCAAATGAATGAGCACATGAAAAATGCAGAACCAAGTGCAGAATGAAACCAACTGAATGAGGGTGCAGATGGGGACCCAGAGGGCAGATGAATGCACTCTGAATTGATGAATGAAGGATATTTAATGGAGCAGATACCTTTTAATCTAGGACTAGAAGGAAGAGAAGCCTATCCACAGATGGAGAGGGAGGGAGAAGGATATTGCTCCTGAAGGAACAGGAGCGAAGGGTTGGAGGCTTGAAAGTGCAGGGCAAATTAAGAAAACACAAAATAATAGACAAATGTTTCTGGTATGCAGGATGAGGGGAGGCACACGGTACCATCAGAGGCCAGAATTACAACATAATATTTGTAGTGCTGGCCGAGCAGTCAGGCAAGAGAAAGAAATAAAGCGTATTCATATAGGAAGAGAGGAAGTTAAATTATCTCTGTTTGCAGATGACATGATTCTGCATCTAAAAAACCTAATAGTCTCAGCTCAAAAGCTTCTTAAGCTGATAAGCAACTTCAGCAGAGTCTCAGGATATAAAATCAATGTGCAAAAAGTGCTAGCATTCTTATACATCAAAAACAGGCAAGTGGAGAGCCCAATCACGAATGAACTCCCATTCACAATTGCTATAAAAAGAATAAAATATCTAGGAATGCAGCTCACAAAGGAAGTGAAGGATCTCTTCAAGAAGAGCTACAAACAAAATGGAAAAATATTTCATACTCATGGATAGGAAGAATCAATATCATGAAAATGTCACAAAGTAATTTATAGATTCAATGCTATTCCCATTAAATTATCATTGACATTCTTCACAGAATTAGAAAAAAACTGTTTTAAAATTCATATGAAACCAAAAATGAGCCCAAAATAGCTAAGACAATCTGAAGCAAAAAGAACAAAGTTAGAGACATCATGCTCCCCAACTTCAAACTATACCACAAAGCTATAGTAATCAAAACAGCATGGTACTGGTACAAGAGCAAACCCATAGAGCAATGGAACAGAATAAAGAATTCAGAAATAAGATTGTGCACCTACAACCAATTGTTCTTTTACAAACCTGGCAAAAACAAGCAATGGGGGAAGGATTTTCTATTTAGTAAATGGTGCTGGGAGAACTGGCTAGCCATATGCCAAAAATTGAAACTGGACCCTTTTCTTACATCATATAAAAAAATTAACTCAAGATGGATTAAACACTTAAATGTAAAACCCAAAACTATGAAAATTGTAGAAGAGAATCTAGGCAATACCATACAGGAAATAGGCATGAGCAAAAATTTCATTATAAAAATGCCAAAAACAATAGCAACAAAAGCAACAATTGCCAAATGGGATCTAATTAAACTAAAGAGCTTCTGCATAGCAAAAGAAACTATCATCATAGTGAGCAGACATCCTACAGAATGGGAAAAAATATTTGCAATCTATCCATCTAACAAAGGTCTAATATTCATAGTCTATAAAGAACTTAAACAAATTTACAAGAATAAAACAAACAACCCCATTAAAAAGTGGGCAAAGAACACGAACAGACACTTCTCAAAAGAAGGCATACATCCGGCCAACAAATATATTTAAAAAAAGCTCAACACTTCTGAGCTTCTGTGGTACCATCACAATGAGATACCATCTCATGCCAGTCAGAATGCCTCTTATTAAAACAATAAATGCTGGCAAGGTTGTGGATAAAAAGGAATACTTTTACACTGTTGGTGGAGTGTAAATTAGTTCAACCATTGTGGAAGATAGTGTGGTGATTTCTCAAAGATCTAGAGGCAGAGATACCATTTGACCCAGCAATCCCATTACCAGGTATATACCTGAAAGAACATAAATCATTCTGTTACAAAGATACATGCACATATATGTTCATTGCAGCACTATTCGCTCTAGCAAAGACATGGAATTGACCTAAATGCCCATGAATGATAGACTGGATAAAGAAAATGTGGTACAAGACACCATGGAATACTATGCAGCCTAAAAAAAAATGAGATAATGTCCTTTGCAGGGACATGGAAGGAGGTGGAAGCCATTTTCCTCAGCAAACTAACACAGGAACAGAAAACCAGACATTGCATGTTGTCCCTTATAACTGGGAGCTGCATGATGAGAAGACATGGACACATGAGGAGAACAGCACACGCCAGAACCTGTTGGAGGTGTGGGGGGAAGGAGAGCATCAGGAAGCTGGTCTTAATACCTAGGTGATGGGATGATCTGTGCGGCAAATCACCAGAACACGTGTTTAACAATGTAACAAACCTGCCCATCCTGCACGTGTACCCCTGAACTTAAAATAAAAGTTGAAGAAAAATAAAAAGAATCCAACATCTAGGAATTTCTCTGAAAAAAAAAAATACACATAGAATAAATAGGATAAAGATGTTTATCATAATAATATTTATGATAACAGAGAAACGCAGTCTTTAGGCCTGGCACGGTGGCTAACACCTGTAATCCCAGCACTTTGGGAGGCTGAGGCGGGTGGATCAGTTGAGCTCAGGAGATCGGAACCAGCCTGGCCAATATGGTGAAACCCCATCTCTACTAAAAATACATAAATTAGCCAGATGTGGTGGCTACTTGGGAGGCTGAGGCAGTAGAATTTCTTGAACCCGGGAGGCAGAAGTTGCAGTGAGTCGAGATCATGCCACTGCACTCCAGCCTGGGCAACAGAATGAGACTCTGTCTCAAAAAAAAAAAAAAAAAAAAGAAAAGAAAAAAAGAAAAAAAAGAAATGCAGTCTTTAAAAGTTGCTATTTTGGGGATATCTGATGACATGAAAACATATTCATAATTTTTAAAACTTAAAAATATTATGAAATATTTTCTGTAGAAAATCATAGGAAATAAACATCCATAGGCCCTTTAGCCAAATTCAACAATTGTTGACACTTTGTCGTATTTACTTCAGGATGTTTGAAGAGATGAAAGACTAGAGACACATTTGAGGCCTCTTTTGTACTCCTCTTCCCTGCCTTCCCACTGATCATTATTTTTCTGAAATTGGCATGCAGACTTCCTGTTCAGAAGTTATACTCCAGCTACACATAAGTATTTCCATAAAATATACAGCATTTTTATAATTTACGAAAATTTTAGCTTCCTTCAGTGTGCTGTTTTCATTCAACACAATTTCCAAGATTTTACCCACTTTGATATATGTAGATAAAATCATTTTTTTTGCTATATGTAGAATTCTAACTACACAAACATATTTAATACACTTTTAAAACTTAATTGTAATGGCTCAATGAGTTATCTCTAAGTGAGCATAGTCATGTAGCTACCACCCAGGTCGGGAAGTAGAACATTATAGACTATCACCTGTTCCCCAGAAACTCTCCATTATGCTCATTTGTAACAATTATCCTTTTTCCCCACCAAAGTAGCCACTGTCATGATTTCTAATAACATCAATTTGTCTGTTTTTGAAGATTATATGGTAGGAATCATGTGGTGCTCTACATCTGCCAATCAGTTCAATCATTAATTAAGTTTTTCAGTTCTTCCCTTTCCTTATTGATTTTATTGGGTCCATTATCAATGATTGAGAGAGATGTATTAAACTCTCCCACTATGGGTATGAATTTGTTGTTTCTCCTTTTAATTTTGTCAATTTTTTTCTTAAAATATATTAAAACTATGTTGTGGCATGCATATCATTGTGATAGCTTTCTGGTGAATTGACCAGATGATTATGAAATGCTCCTCTTTATCCTGAGTAATGTTTTTGCCTTAAAGTCTATTTTTTCCTCTGTTAGGTTCGCCATAGCAGTTTGCATTTGGTTAGCCTTTGAATATCTTTTCCACTCTTAGATTTATGAAGTATATTATTCCATTCTCATGCTTCTAATAAAAACATAACCAAGACTGGGTAATTTATAAAGGAAAAGGTTTAATTAAGTCACGGTTCACCATGGCTGGGGAGGCCTCAGAAAGTTTACAATCATGGCAGAAGGGGAAGCAACATATCCTTATTCACATGGTGGCAGGAAGAAGTGTTGAGCAAAGGGGGAAAAGCCCCTTATAAAACTATCAGATCTTGTGAGAACTCACTCACTATAACAAGAACAGCATGAGGGTAACAGCCCTCATGATTCAATTACCTCCCACCAGGTCCCTCCATGACACATGAGGATTATGGGAATTACAATTCAAGATGTGATTTGGGTGGGGACACAGACTAACCATGTAATTTCACCCCTGGCCCCTTCCATATCTCATGTCTTCACATTTCAAAACACAATCATGCCCTTCTAACAGTCCCCCAAATCTCAACAATCTCCCCAATATCTTAACTCATTCCAGCACTAACTCAACAGTCCAAATCCAAAGTCTCAGGATTTGAGGCAAGCCAAGTACCTTCCACCTATAAAATCCAAAGAAAGTTAGTTACTTCCTACATACAATGGGTACAGGCACTAGGTAAATATACCTGTTCCAAATGGAAGAAATTGGCCAACAAAGGGGTTACAGGCCTCATGCAAGTCTGAAATCCAGTAGGGCAGTCATTAAACTTTAAAGTTCCAAAATGATCTGTGACTCCATGTCTCATATGCAGGTCATGTCTAATATCGAGGTCATGTCTATGTAAGAGGTGGGCTCCCGTAGCCTTGGGAAACTCCACTCCTGGAGCTTTACAGGGTACAGGTGCTTTCATGGCTGGCATCGAGTGTCTGTGGTTTTTCCAGGAACACTGTAAGCTATTGATGGAGCTACCATTGTGAGGTCTGGAGGACGGTGGCCCTCTTCTCATAGCTCCACCAGGCAGTGACCAAGCCATGTCATGGGGACTTGATGTGGGGGCTCTGACCCCCCATTTTCCTTCTGCTCGGCCCCTACCAGAGGTTCTCCATGAGAGCTCCACCCCAGCAGCAGACTTCTGCCTGGACATTCCGGCATTTCCATACATCTCTGAAATCTAGGCAGAGGTTCCCAAGCCTCCATTCTTCCACACACCCACAGGACCAACACCACCTGGAAGTTGCCAAGGCTTGGGACTTGCACCTTCCGAAGTTCCTTTTAGCCATGGCTGGAGCAGCTGGGATGCAGGGAACCAAGTTCTGGGGCTACACACACCAGGGGGGCTCTGAATCTGGCCCACAAAACCATTTTTCCCCTTTTGGCCTCCAGGCTTGTGGTAGGAGGGGCTGCTGTGAAGGTCTCTGACAAGCCCTGGAGACATTTTCCTCATTGTGTTGTTGATTAACATTTGGCTTCTCTTTATTTATGCAGGGTGTGGTGGCTCTGGTTTGAAGTAGTATAGCCCCCTGCAGCTTCCTCAGCTGCAGTCAATGTCATGGATGATTGCGAGTGCCTCAGTAGTCTAGGCTGCAGAAGTTTGTGGCAGCAGTGTATGCTGTTCTTAGCAGCAAGAGCTTTTGGGGTTCTCCTGTTCTCATTTTATCGACAAGCGTAAGTCTCAGATGAGGGTATTCTTCTTGGTGTGGCTTAGACATGGCCCATGAGCAGCTGCAGTGGTGCTGGGTTCTAGGGTACGGGTGCTCAGGGTGGCTGTAGAGCCTAAGTCCTGGGCACAGGCTCTCACAAACCTACTGTGGCACCTGGGACTTGGGGTGAAGGTTCACTCTGTGAGGCAAGGGTGAATGCAGATGGCCCACAAAGTTGGCATCTGTGAGTCTGAGACACAGCCCAGCAGCTCAGGCCCAGCTGGATTTTAACTATGACTCTGACTCTGGGGTGAAGGGCACAGCACTGGCCCAGCTTCAGGGAAGAAGGGGTGTTGTGGAGGTTCAGGTCCAGCGAGCAGAACAAAGCTGCAATCCAGGAACTGGAGCCAATAGGTCACAGCAGCAACTCAGGCCCTGGGGAATAAGAAACCTGTAGCTGTGACTCTAGACCTTGGCATGGTGGGACATGGCAGCATCTGGGGCTCAGCAAGACAGCAAGGACCCAGGAACGGTGAAATTCAGTTGTGTCTTGGGCTTCAGGGAGCATGGAGCAGCACAGCAATAACTCTATTCCTTGAGAAGGTAGGGTGCCTCAGCAGCTCAGAATCTGGGGGGCTAGTCTAGTTCCAGGGACGCAGGCTTTCCCACTTGTTTAGCCTGCGGGGGTGGGGTGTCCCATCTCAGTCAATGCTCTGTTTTCCTGGAATGTGGGATGCCACATCAGCCCCACCCTGGGAGATACAGCTAGCTGCTCAGCTCATCCAAGGCATTTATTCCCTGAAAGGTTGGGTGCCACTTCAGCTCAGGTGCTAGGGGTGTGACTGTCCTGGGAAGATAAGGCAGGGATTCCCTGGGAGACACAGTGCCACATCAGCTTCAGCACCAGGGGGTGTGATCGCTCTGGGTAGCCAAGTCATTGTTTCTTGATTTTCCCGGAGATGGAATGCCGCTTCAGCTCAGGTAGAGAGAGGCAGGGTAGAGCAGCAACCAGGAGGGGCGGATGGAGTGGCTCTGGCTCTCTGGCAGCCTGTTACATCTGGCTACCTCCTGCTCCTGTAGCGTAGACCTTCAAGTTCTCCAAACGAATTTCTGGAATGTTCACAGAGACCCTTTTTTTCTGGAGGGTCCTAAATTCTAATCTGTCTCCTCAGCACCATAAAGTTGCCCAAAAATTTTCGGCTTGAAATTTGCGACATCTGCCCTGTGCAGTTACAGAATTTGGCAAACTTACTGAGGCAGAAACAAGCCATGTTTTTTAGACTCCTCGAGTCTCCAATTTTTATCACTTGTACCTCATGAGATTTCTTTTTTTGTTTTTTTGTTTGTTTTGAGATGGCATCTTACTGTGTTGCCCAGGCTGGAGTGCAGTGGTGCTACCACGGCTCACTGCAACCTCCACCTCCCAGATGCAAGCAATTCTTCTGCCTCAGCCTCTCAAGTAGCTGGGACTACAGGCACCCACCACCACACCTGGCTAAATTTTGTAGTTTTAGTAGAGATGGGGTTTCACCATATTGGCCAGGCAGGTCTCTAACTCCTGACCTTGTGATCTGCCCTCTTCGGGCTCCCAAAGTGTTGGGATTACAGGCGTGAGCCACCATGCCTGGCCACCTCATGAGATTTCTGAAGCTCTGAGGGTTTTTCAGTCCCCTGGCAGTGACCCACGGCCTGGCTACAGCCTTCTCAGCATTTCACTTATTCACAGAATTGAGAGAACTCTCAGCTTCCTGTCTGCAGTTCTCCCTCCCCAGAATGAAATCCTGTATGGGTCCTACTGGCTCTCAAGATCTCTGATGCCTGACGTATGCCTGGTCTCTGATGTGTAATCACATTTCTTGGGGTGTTGGTCTGCCACAGCAATCCTGGTAGCAAAAGCCCTCTAGGTTTCTCTATTTTACATTTTTGAGTTCTAAACATTGTATTTGAAAAAATAGGGGTAATCTGAGGTTCTAGGTAATGTGATTTTCCTCCAGAAAATATACAGGCTTGTTTCTGACTGTTAGCTAGTCTGAGGGCAGGCCACCTTAATTCAGCCAGGAATGGGCATGCTTTGAGGCTTGGCTTTAGTCTTTGGAGGGCTGGTTTACTCTTGTGACTAGAGCATAGCCCTTTGGGGTCCCAGCTGGATGCCTGGGGTGTTTGCCAGGCTCCCTCCTCCCTGGCAGAGCCTGCCCTCCATTTTGGTCACAGCAGCTTGACAAGGCCAGTAAAAGCTCATTCACTGCTCAGCTCCTGATCCTCAGTCACTCTTCTTGCCTATGGAGTCTACCTGTTGCTTTGAGGGGTGGAGAGGCCTCAACTTCTGGGTTCATTTCTCTTGATTTCCTTCCTCTTTCAGATTGTAGCACTACCAAATTTCATTGTCTTGATCATCTTTCAGTTCAAACAAATATTGTTGTATGTTGCCCAGTTTTTCTAGTTCTCCAGGGAGTCAAATTCAGCACCAACCTAGCCAGTGCATACTGGAGGTAGAACTCTCAACAACACAACATTTTTCGTGGGAAAAAAACCTAGCCGGGCGCGGTGGCTCACGCCTGTAATCCCAGCACTTTGGGAAGCCGAGGCGGGTGGATCACAAGGACGGGGGATCGAGATCAACCTGGTCAACATGGTGAAACCCGATCTCTACTAAAGATACAAAAAATTAGCTGGGCATGGTGGCGCGTGCCTGTAGTCCCAGCTACTCAGGAGGCTGAGGCAGGAGAATTGCCTGAACCCAGGAGGCGGAGGTTGTGGTGAGCCGAGATCGCACCATTGCACTCCAGCCTGGGTAACAAGAGCGAAACTCCGTCTCAAAAAAAAAAACAAAAAAAAACCAAAAAAATCCTGTATGTGCTGTATGGTACAAGCTTGGTTAAAACTAAAGGCATGTAATATGTGCTATGGTTTGTGTGTTTCCCCAGATTTCATGTTTTTGAAACTTGATCCCTGAATTCACATGTAGATGATATTTGCAGGTGGGGCCTTTGGGAGATAACTAGGACTAGACAAGGTCGTCTTATCTAAGGGGTCAAGGGGCCCCACGGTGGAACTGGTGGGTCAATAAGAGGAGAAAGAGACCTGAGTTGTCATGCCCTTGTCCTCTCGCCATGCTGTGAGGCAGGAAGGAGGCACTCACAAGATGCCAGCACCTTCATATTAGACTTCCCGGACTCCAGAACTTAAGAAATGAATTTATTTTCTTTATAAATGAGACCCAGTCTCAGGTATTCATTTACAGCAACAGAAAATGGACTAAGACAATACATTTGTACAGTCAGCCCTCCCTAACCATGGGCTCCTCGTTGGTGGGTTCAACACATCAAAGATTAAAGATAGAGTCACGCACTGCTTAAAAATGGGGATATATTCTGAGAATTGTGTTGCTGGGTGATTTTGTTGTTGTACAAACATAGAGTGTATTCACACAAAGCTAGATACTATAACCAACCGCCCACCTAGGCTACCCCTACTGCTCCTAAGCTACAAACCTCTACAGCATGTTACTGTTCTTAGTACTGTGGGCAATTGTAACACAGTGGTAAGTATTTGGGTATCAAAACATGAGAAAGGCACAGTGAAAATATGGTATAAAAGATTAAAAATTGTGCACCTGTATAGGGCACTTACCATGAATGGATCTTGCAGAACTGGAAGTTACTCGGAGTCAGGGAGTGAGTGGTGAGTGAATGTGAAGGCCTAGAGCTACTGTGAGCGGTGTAAACCCTGTACACTTAGGCTACATTAAGTTTATAAAAAATGGTTTTCTTTCTCCAGTAAAAAATTAACTTTAGCTCACTGTTACTTTTGACTTTATAAACTTGAAATTCTTAAAAACTTTTTGACTCTTCTGTAATATCACTTAGCTTAAAACACAAACACACTGTACAGCTGTACAAAAATATTTTCTTTCTTTGTATCTCATTCTCTAATCTTTTTCTATTTAAAAATTCTTTATTTATTTTCTTCTTAAACCTTTTTATTAAAAACCAAGATGCTGATATGGTTTGGCAGTGTCCCCACCCAACTGCAATAATCCCCATGAACTGAATTGTAATAATCCTCTTGAATTTTGTAATAATCTTGAATCGTGATCATCCCCACGTATCAAGGGTGGGGCCAAGTGGAGATAATTGAATCATGGATGCAGTTCCCATATACTGTTCTCATGGTAGCCAATGAGTCTCACAAGATCTGATGGTTTTATATATGGGAGTTCTCCTGGACCAGCTCTCTTGCCTGCTGCCATGTAGGACGTGTCTTGCTCCTCCTTTGCTTTCTGCCATGATCATGAAGGCTTCCCAGCAACATGGAACCGTGAGTCAATTAAACCTCTTTCCTTGATAAATCACCCAGTCCTGGGTATGTCTTTATTAGCAGTGTGAGAACAAATGAATACAGATGCAAACATACACACAAGCCTAGGCCTACAGAGGGTCAGGAGCATCAACATCACTGCCTTCAGCTTCCACATCTTGTCCCACTGGAAGGTCTTCAGCGGCAGTAACATGCACTGAGCTGTTATCTCCTATGATAACAATGCCTTCTTCTGGAATGCCTCCAGGACTACCACAAGCCTGTGAGTAATGCATTGTGCCACGATGTTACAATGGCTAAATGTCACTAGGAGACAGGAATTATTCAGCTCCATTATAATCTTGTGGGACTACCATTCCATATGCAGTTTGTCACTGACTAAAATGTCATTATGTGGTATTTGTCTGTATTCGGGAAAAAAAAAAATACAAATTAAAAATACAGTGTAACAACGATTTACATAAAATTAACATTATATTATATACATAATCTAGAGATGATTTAAAGCATACGGGAAGATGTGTGTAGGTTATATGCAAATACAACACCGTTTTATATAACGGACTTGAAGAATGACAAATTTTGGTCTTCACAGGTGTCCTGGAACCAGTTCTTCCACGGATACAGAGGGATGACTGATTTATGTATAGAAAGACCAAAAAGACATAGGCCAAATTGTTAGTGGTGATTCTTTTGAATGATTGGAATACAGGTGAGTTATTTATTGTCTCTGTGCTTCTTGTATTTTCCAAGTTTTCTATCATAAATATAGCTATTTTTGTATTTAAAATGCTAATTTTATAAGTGATGACTACCAGGAAATAGCAGGCAGAAAAGAGAAGAAGGCTGGAGAAAAAGGTGATAATATGGAAATAACAAACCTGGCTTCTTCCTGCTGCACTCCCCAACAGTCTCACAGCACTCCTGACTCCAGATGTGTGGGGGTTTCTCCCCATCAACAAGCAAGCCATCCTCCAGCAGGGACACCAGCTGGTGTCCTCTGGTTCATTTCAATTCCGGCACCATCTGAGACGGGATAATTCCCTTGACCTTGACCCTCTTCATGGGAGGGAATTGGAGTGGCTTGTTTCACTCAGCCTGACAGTGGCCCCTTTTCTTGAGAGGGAGCCTGCAAGCAAGTGTGGGAACCCAAGCGAATGGAATGATGGAACCAGCTGGTTGCTCCTCTCTGGCTGGAGCAGACTCTGTTGAGGTCCTGCAGCAGCATCCAAGCCCCTGCTCTCTCAGTATCTGGGTTCTTGTCTGGCATCCAAAATCAGGTCACACACAGAGATTGGAGGGTAGTGTATGCAGAGGATGATACTAGGTGATAGAAGAGGCTCTTGGTGGGATGGGGAGTTGAAAAGGGGATAGTGTGGGAAGCAGGCGATCTTTCCCTGAAGCCGTACCATCTGAAGTTAGCCAAGTCTATCCATAGTCTCTGACGCTCAGTTCCATCTCTGCTCACCGCTCAGCCACTTGTATCTCTGCTGCTCAGTCACTTGTTGCTCCACCAGCTGAAGTCTTTTTATTGGTACAGGATTTGGGCATGGCAGGCCAAAATAGCAACATTTGGGCGGAAAAACAGAGTCATCTCTTTCACTTAGGGCTGAAGTTCCAGGCTTACGGGTAGGGTTTTGCCATCCCCCATTTCTGATGCCAACCCAAGTTGGTTTACCTGTGCTTCTGACCCATTGGCTATACATTGGGGTTCCCTCAGCCCCCTCCTTAGGTCTGCTTAATTTGCTGGAGTGGCTCACAGAACTCAGGGAAACACTTACTAACATTTGCCAGTGTATTGTAAAGGCTATCACGAAGGATACAGATGAAGAGAAGCATGGGGTGAGGCATAGGGAAGGGGCACAGAGCTTCCACGCCTTTCCTGGGTGCTACCCTCCAGGTGTCTCCACCTGTTCAGCTTTCTGGAAGCTCCCCAAACCCAGTCCAGTTGTGTTTTGATGCAGGCTTCATTACATAGGCCTGACTGACTAAATCATTGGCCATTGGTGATCAATTTAACCTTCGGCCCCTCTCCCTTCCCTAGAGGTCATGAGGTGGGGCTGAAAGTCCCAACCCTCTAATCCTGCCAAGGTCTGAGTGACCAGCCCCATCCTGAAGCTACCTAGGGGCTGCCAGCCACCAGTCAATCATTAGCATACAAAAGTACATCACTTTGGAGATTTGCAGAATTTTAGGAATTGTATGTCAGGAAACTGGAGGAAGATCAACTAGATATTTCACAATATCACAGTACACCAGAAACTGAAAAATTAGATCTCCCATGAGACCTGTAGAACAGTGGAGGAAGGAAGGTGGGGCTACAGAAAGATGATTGCAAAATAACACCCAAGAGCTGGGAAGGACTCAGTACATCTTCTCCAAACCCCTCACTGTCATTGTATGCACGCAGACACAGAGGCTCCTGAGGCCGCGTGGCTTGCCATCAAGTGAGTCACAGTGCTGGGTCAGGAGCCAGGTCTCCCAAATCCCAGGCTAGTGCTCTTTCCAGAGGCGCTTGTGGAGTCAATGTGGGCTGGGGTAATCACAAGTCTCTCCCCACAGAACTGGGACAATAGGGGCTAGGGCTGCTCGTGCAGGGTCACCTGATCTAGCTGGACCTTCTCAGGTAGAGGAATCGCCAGAGCCATGGCTGTCGGTGGGAGGCCCTCCGTTTTGCTGGTGAGAGATGAGCTTCAACAGGGATGGCAGTGTCTATAAGATGCCTTTCTAGCATAGCACTCAAAAGCTTCCTCGGCCTGTCTAGGTCTTCTCACTGAGTTATGATCTTACTGCCCCCAAAGATGTTTGTGTCTTTGCTATCCCCTATCAAGAGATTTTTTTCCACTCCCTCTCTCATACCTGAAATCTACCTACCCCTCCAGGTGTAATTCTAATTCTCACCATCTTCCGCTAGTGGAGCCGGAGTCTCTCATTTGGAGAGGATCCTCTAGGCTTTGCATTTTTCTTTGGCTGGTGTCAGTCTTCTTACAGAGATGCTAAAGTTTGGAAGGCAGGAATCAGTTCTCCTGTTTGGTGGTATGCTCCCAGGCATGGAGGAAAATGTCTTGCATGAGGCAGGCACTAAGCAGACGCTTGTGGGGTGACTTGTGGGGTGCTGGGAGGAAATGTGTGAGAGACTGGGGGACATCTAGAAGGAGCTGACAGAGGATTTTGAAGAGAAGTAGACAGCACAGAGCTCTTTACAGGAGCCCGTCAGAGGCTTTCTGGGGCCTGCTTTTCATCCCTTGCTTCTGGTGTCAGTTTCAGAAAGAATTAGGACCCTGAGTCAGGAGGGAGCAGACACTGGAAGGAGAAAAACGAGCAGTGCTGTTGAGTAAAGACAATGTCAGGAGGAAGCACTGTAGTGGAAACCCGAGTCTGGAGATATCTGAAACTGCCCGGACAGAGATTGGGCTGATGCAGGTTAAAGCACGTTTTCTCAGACGCGGGGCAGGCTGGCCTTGAGAACAAAGAACTGGAACATGAGTTTGGGCAGAGAACACACAGTGTGTGAGATTTTTGGTGGCAAATAATGATAAGCCAATGTGCTTGGCTTTGGAAAGAGGGGCAACTTCCAGTTCAGTAGAGAGAAACTTAGCGAACTATTATATTGATCTGAAGCCAGAGTTTTTCAGGTTTTCGATGACTTCCATTACGTGCCTGAGCAGAGGTGTGTAATAGAATGGGGAAGCCAAGGAATATTTATAAACCAAGGATGTTTGAATGAGAAATGTGGAGTTCGTAAATTTTGAGTTCTCTTGGTTGCCACACAGAGGCTTATTTGGGGGAGAGGATTTGAAGTCTATCATATGAGAATCAGCTGCTGTTGTGATCACATTTCAGATAGCAACACAGGGATGGAGTGAGAGAACGAATCTTGGCTTCACCCTGGCTGGGGGATTTTGGTGGATTCTCAGAGGCTGGGCTCAAAGGAATCAATTTGTGGAAAAGGGAGCCATGCAACATGAATTAATTCAAGGAATTATTGAGAATGCAGAGGAGCATCAGCTCTCATGTTATTTGCAAAACAATGAGGGCCCTGTGGGTTTTGGAAGTAGCTTTTAAAAGGTATCCAAAGCATCTCATGCTGGCAATGTGTTTGGGGAGGGTGAGGAAGAGGAGCTGGGTAGGGCAGGTACTTTATGTATCACCGAAGTAGTGTAATATAATTTAAAAAGGGTTGGTAATTTGACCCCAGCTTAAAATATGACCTGTACGCAGGAACTCAGGTCCTGAAACTTCACCATCAGGTCTTCATTCCATGTCATCACTTACACTTCATTCCAGTGACGTTACGGGATTATTTTTCCCATTATATAAGGGACTTTGAATGGCACCGGGGAAGAGAAGAGGTGAAAAAGAGACAGAAATCCCATGCACTTGACTTGTTTTGCCTTGAGAGTGACCTTGAGTGTGCTGTATCTTCAGAGAGGCTTTATTTGAAGCCACCTGCCTGGCCTCATATCCCGGATCTTCTCCTTACCAGCTGGGGAACTTGGGACCAGTTACTTAACCTGTTTGTACTTGGATTTCCCCATTGGTAAAAGGAAGAAAAATGATCGCACCTACTTCATAGGTTGTGAGGATTAAATGAGTTAATGCATGCAAGATACTTAGAACAGCTCCTGGCACATAGTAAGCACTCAATAAACATTTTGTATCATTCTTACTTTCAGGATGGCGGCATCTGCTGTTCTGAAAGATTTTCCCATCTAGGCTCCAGCCAAGTGCAGGAAAGTTCAAGGCGGAAGCTGCCTGGTGAAGCAGACATTTCTGAGTTCTCCATTTCGCAACTGCAAGCACCTTGAAAGGTTCTTCAGCCCTTTCCTTAGCAACCTTCACAGCTTATTCTAAGCCTCGTGTTTAAGAACTTGGAATTGCTAAGTGTTTTAGAGGCAGTTTTTTGCTTAAAGAGAAAAACTGGCATGGCCTGAGTGTGGCTGAGGCAAACGCTTCTGGCAGGACAGTGCCAGTCTTGGTTCTCCTTATTCATTGATGAGCTTCTGCTCCACATGGGTGATGGGAGGGGCTGGTCCTACCCTCCAAGCTGGTTCAGCTGACAGCTGCGAATGCCAGTGCTCTTGCCAACCATCAGAAAGGCTTGAAACTGATGCTGCGAGGGGCATCCTGCAGTAATACCCCCCATCCTGTGGCTCCAGGCCCACTGTGTGTGTGGAGGCGGGGATCATTCTAGTTGTGAGCTTTGACTCTAGCTACCTCACTCTGCTTCACTGGGTTCCAACTTCCCCTCCCCACCTGAGATGCTCTGCCAGTTTCTCTTTCAGGTCATGGCTGGAGCAGACCCAGCAAAGCAGTGTCTCCTGTGGCTTTTGCCTCCTCTGGAGGAAGGGTGGGTGGGGCTGGGCTGGTTGTTTGAAGAGGAAAAGGATGAGGGAGTGTTGGGGAACAGGTGTGCAGAAATGGTGAAGTGGCATGGAAGATGGAGGATTTAAATGTTAAAGGGTGGGCAGAAAATGTACCAGGATATTTTGAGGGCTAAATTTGTTCTGGAAGTTAAATGCATAGAATGCGATGAATCAGAGGAACAAGAGCCACTTAAGATTTTTAAAGCCGTTGGGTTGCCCAGGCGATACACAGGCGTTTTGTGGATGGTTTGCTATTAGCAGTAAACATTTACATAGCACTTCACCTCCTCAAATATTCATCCATAAAACCCTGGAATGGCAGTGACAGCCGGGAAACGAAGACTCAGGGAGGATTCGCTCAAGGTCACAAAGCTGGTTTGCAGCGGAGCCGACCGGAGAGCCTAGGTGCCTTGGCTTTGTGCCGCCACCTGCCAGGGGTGTCCGCCTTGTCTGGATAACTTGCTTTGCAATACCCAGTGAGGAAGGTGATTGGCTACAGCCTTCAGCTGGAGGAACAGAGAGGCGGGAAGCGGAGGGATCTGTTGACCAATCAGAAGGCTGTATTTGACCTAGCTGCTTCCAGACCGACCTCCTGAGCCCTTGAACCCTGAAGCTGCATGCTTTCTTTGACCTGCTCATCTACCAGGGATGTCTCTCTTGGAGAATGACACTGCTGGGCTCCCAGCTTCCCAGGCAGCTTGACTTCTCCCCTTTGTTTCCTCACCACCCACCCCATGCCGCATCAATCACCATGACCTTGAATTCCATCTGTTTGGTATTTGAGTCACTCACTTTTCCTCATCCCCACAATGACTCTCCATCTACCACACAGCCTACTAATTATCCTCTTCACCTCCACTCTTTGCTCCTTCCTATCCATTCTACTTCCAAAAACCTAAGCAGACCACTCTCCTGCTGAAAACCCTTCCGGGGCTCTCGATGGCCTCAGGTGAAATGAAGCCCAGACACCTCATCACAAGGCTCCTGCCCCCGTTTCCTGGCATGTCCAGGGCATGGCCTCACACAGCTCCCCAGCCAGAAGGATGCTCAGTTCCCTGACTTCATCATGCTGTGAGTACGTTGCTGATGGGGCCAGAAGGAGCCAAGAAAGATCACAGGAATGGTCGGGTGGAGGGGGTGGGGTTGTTGGGGGCAGAAAGAGAGACAGAGGGAGAGGGGGAGAGAGGGAAGAGAGAGAGAAAGAAAGAGAGGGAGAGAAGGGCTGAGCCTGGCTGTCCTGAGCCATTGGTCAGTGTGGAAGAACCCACCTCATATGGGATGTTCTCAGCCCAAGAACACTGACACGAGCCTTGGAGGTGAGCATTGTCTATCACTGCAAGGCTGAAGACTCACAGCTCTTTCTCTCTTCAGACAGCTCATTCTGATTTGTTGAGCAAAGCACAGCGACCTATAACAGGCACGACATTTCTTACTGGCTGTGTGACACCGAGTGAGTCACTCAATGTAATGAAGCCATGGGCCTCAGTTTCTTCATCTGTGAAATGGGGATAATAGCTGATCTGCTGTGCAGATGTCTTTTTGTTGGTTTGTTTGGGTTGCACACCTCATGAACCCCCTTCCGTATGGGGGACCCTCATGGTATGAGCCTCCAGGGTGGAGTGGACGGTGTCCTACTGAGAAGCTGGAAAAACCGGATGCTGTGACAGCCTGCCAGCAGTGAGAGAGTGAGGCGCTCATGCCTAGGTCTTTGTATCTTGAGAGAAATGCAAAGATGCAGGGCCTGTTGAGAATCATTCCAGTAGAGGCAGTGGGTTTGGGAGGGTGGCAGTGACAATGACCATGGGGGCGGTCACCACGGTGTCCAGCTCAGTCTCTTGCTGCAGCAGGAACTTCTTCTTTCTTCCATGCTTTCTAGTCATGCCAGAAAACAGCCTGAGTTCCTTCCAGTACGTTCCATCTGTGCTCTTATTGACCAGAGTCCACTTCTATAGATAGATGAGACCGACTCTTGACTCAGATACTCACCTACTCACAGGGCAGTGAGGGAGGAGCAGAACATGTAGCTGGGGCTGCTTCAGTGAAGCCGGAGTGCAGTTCAGTGGGGAAGGACTTTGCCCTTCCTGGGATGGGAAGCACAGCATCTACGGCGTTGTTTTTGATCAAGCTGGAACCTGAGTCAAAAATCATATCAAATATTGGGCATTCCACTGGGAGCAGACGATATTGTGACTATGCTTTGGAAGGGACAGAAGAAATATAAGACTTTCTCCTTATCTTACCAATAGAGAGCCCTCCCACTCCTCCTCCTCCATGTCTTAAATTTAGCTTAAAAACATAATTGTTTTTAAAAAATGGGGAAAGGCACATGTCCATTCCCATAGATCGTTAGCATCTAGGAGCAGACATTTGTTTCTGTGCCATGCCTGTCAGGTCTCAAGTCTGGCTTTGGCAGCCTCCCAAGTCATTTTTATCTGGTAGGGCAGAAGGATAGAAGGACACTCTTGGAAGCCATGCTTCCGCCTTGGCTGCCTCTGGGGTGGACACTTTCCCACGCTAAGGTCTGGCCTTCACTTGGCAGAGCAGCAGAAGCAGATTCACTTGCTCTCTGGCCATCGCCAGCCTGCCCGGGGGGATCCAGGGGCTCATATCTGTTTGCTTAGATCCTGGGTCCTCAGGAGCTGGTGCCAGGACTGGTGGGAGACTGGGCTCCAGCCAGTTTGTCATGTTAAATGATCTGGGCCACATATAAAAGATGGGGTTTTCATATCCCGTTACCCAAGTGCTGTTGTTTTGTCCACTTTGAAAAACTTTGTGGCACAAGAGTCTGAAACGTGCCCCTGGGGACAAATAGGACTTACTGTTGAGTCCTCACCCTGGCTCCCCTCCTGGCTGACTGCCATCTCTGGGAAACAGGCACTTTGAAGATGCCATGTTTAATCACAGCATTTTGGTTTTGTTTTAATGTTTTGAAAGAGCAGGCTGTCAGGCTGACTTATGCAAAAGCAGAGCCATTAACCTCACAAAGAACTCAGAGCCTTGAGCAAGGTGATAGGGGCTGAGTCTGCTGAGGCAGTTTGCAAGTTCTCTCTCTGCTGCTGCAGAGAAAGCTCATGGCTGGGCTGCTGGCCTGCCGCAGGGGTGGGCTCCAGCCCTGGGCAACATGGCCCCAGGGGCCTCAGTGCACTCCCAGGGGCCAGCCTACATGGAGACTTCTGGTTCCAGGGGGCAGTTGGTGGGGTGGGGCCATGGGGAGAGGGCTCTGATACGGGGCACTGGAGGGGTACATGTCCACCTCAGTTAGGGAGCAGCCCAGCAGCCTGCATTTCCTTCAGCTGTTTGGGCCTCAGTTTCCTCACCTGTGAAATGATCCCTGAGTGCATTTCTAATTTAGCTTTTCCATGGTGATTGTTATTTCCCACAAGCCTCTGAGGTATCAGGTCCCTGGGCTATGGTTCTGGGGTCCAGGCCACTGACACTCTCTTTTTTATCAACCATTTCAACAGGCAAAAACTGCAGTCCCCCACGGGCCACTGGACAAATGTCCCACTATTTCATGGGAATTGCCTCTCTAGAGCTGCATGGGTTGATCTTGGTGATTAACAAGCAAAGCTGGGGTACAGCTGCCTTGTCTGACCTGGAAATTAACTGGCTGCCTGCTATGACCTAAGACCAAACTGATGAGGGGCTCACAGACAGTGTCACTATGCCCAGACATCAGACCAGCAAGGTGCAAAGCAGGGAAGGGGAGGGGGGCAATTTGATTCATTTAAAAAATCATCTATATCAAATATATTCCATTTAAACCAAGTAAGTTTATTTGACTATACACAGAGTATCAGTGAATTTAAAGGAATATGAAAATTCATATGTTTTCTTGCAAGCAAAAAGTTGGCGTTCTTGCTGGACAGAGAGGGGCTGTGAAGGGGAAGGAAGTCATAATGATGGCAGCAGGTGCTGCCATCACACCAGCTGCAGCAGGGAGGCACGGCTGGGGCTGCACACTCCATGGAGCTCCTGAGAGCCATGCCCCTCCTGAGTTGGGGCGGGAACTCCCTGGGTGCTGCTGCGGCCACCCAAACTGAGTTGCAGACCCAGACCTCCTGCTCTACGGATCAGGAAGGAGCCCCACCTTCCTGGGCAAGGCTACAGCCACCCAAACTGCGGCTGTGGATCAGAGTCTCCCAGTGCTCTTGTGGGGGGTGACAGGGGGAGGCAGGATCTGCCCTCCGGGTGCAGCTGGACCCATGGCTGCAGACCTGGGCCTTCCACTCCACAGAGCAGGCAGGAGCTGGGGACAAGTGGGAGCCCTGCCCTTCCGAGTTGGTGGGGTGGAAGCTTCCTGGGTGCACCTGTGGCCACCCTCCTGGGTGCAAGACCCAGGCATCTCTGTAGCCTGCACCCTTGGGGGCCCAGAAAGGTTCTCCACCCCACTTGCTGTTCCCTCCAGGCTCAGACCCCATTCTCAATCTCAGAGTGGGGTTGGGGCCATGCCCTAGGACCATGAATGGAAATGGGGGGCAGACAGATTCCTGGGCAGAAAAGGGTGGGTCCTGGTAAAGCCTCTCCTTCTTGACCAGGGAGGGGCTGAAGGCTGGGGGCTGGGCTGCCAGTCCCACAGACCGGGATGGGGACTTGTGGTGCCTTTTCTTCCTGCCCATGACCACCCATGGATCGGTTGGCATGCACTTCCTTCCCTCTGAGGTCGAGGTCCTCTCAAGCCCCAGGCTTAGCCAGAGCAGGGCAGAGAATGTACAGATGACAGGATGGGAAGGCCAGCTGCAGTGAGGAACTACCCTCTCCGCTGAGAGCCTCAGAGGCCTGCAGAGATGTGGGGACTACCAGCTGCAGAGAGAAGCAACCCTCTCCAGGGCCTCATCTCTGCTGAGAGCAGCAAACATCAGGGTGACCTGTCTACAGTGGGGAGCTACCCACTGTGGGTCTCCTCTAAGCTGTTTTAACACTCAAGGAAGCTCATCTTCACCTTGTTCGCCCTTCACTTGTCTGCATATCTCATTCTTCCTGGATACCTGCAAGAACTTGGGCAAAGGTGCTGCCGGTTTCTGGCCAGAAAATAGAGATGACACTCCGAAGATCTTGTAACAATGGCGGATTTGCCTGATATCTGAGAGTTCAACACCTAAGCCCATCTTCTCAAACCAGGCTTTTTTTTTTTTTTTTACTACCTAATTAGAATTTTTATTATGGATGTTAGTTGAATTTTATGCAATGCTTTCTT